TTTTTTTTTTTTTTTTTGGGTACTTGATATCCTTGTCTCATATTTAGAGTAATCTTATATTTATATACAAATCCTTACCGGTTTGTAGTGAAAATTTTCCTCTTTTTCAGGTCTGATGAGGAAATATCCTCAAAAGAATTATTTTCACACATCAATAGTTTCCATCAAATTATTCAAATCTGCGTGAAAATTACATATTTAAAATACCAAATTTACCAATTACTAATTTCCTCTTCTGTGANTGTGAATAACATCTAATGTCAATTGAATATGACTCTCCGAATTTATCTTACCCGCCATTTGATGTCATGTTGCATTTAAAAGACTATCTTCTCGTTCACATTTATCTCGCCACTGATGTTCTCACTCATTTAATCATCAGCTCGGAATTGAAGCTGAATCTTCAAGATTTCCTTATTTTACTCCTATTCATGTTAAACTTTAGAGATGCCAAATGCCCATTTGTCACTAAGAACCAAGAACAAAAGAAAAAACTAAAAACAGTGCAGGGGATATATCTCAGGAACCGAGATATTATGGAAAATAAAAAAAATGCAATCTGTATTTTCTGATCCATATCATGAGCTAATTAAGTCAACTGCGACGTCTTGCACCTATAAAAATTACGACCTCGTTCTATATATTATCCCATCCCGTTCTTTTTCTAAATACAACTGTGGCCGACAACCATATTCCAGCGAATTTTCTTCCTCAGGCGATAGCGTGATTCAAACTCAGATTTTAGGTAATCCATCAGATTGCATGACATCCAATAAACCCCAATAAAAACTAAACAATTTTGCAATAACAATGAACCAAAAAAGTACAAACAAAAGTACCAAAATTGAGACACCCATAATGTGGAATAAAAGAATAACAATATCCAATTTAATTCCCTCAAGCTCAAATGAATTCTTCTTCAAACATCAAATTACAGAAGACCCATTTTCACCAACAAATTATACATCAGAAACAAAAACAAATCAACTTATATAAACACAAATATATAAACATACAGAAAGAAAAGAAATTACCCTGTTTCTCCGCAAAGAAGAGTATTGTGAAGAAGCAAATCTTGGGTCATTCTGTGAAGAAAAAGAAAGGGACTGAAAAGGGCTAAAACTACCGGCAGACGTTGTTGTGATAACGGTAGAAAAGTGAGAAAGTTTGAAGGAATCAAAATGCATCAATGAGGGCGCTGTCATTTCTCTCTTTTTTACTCACTCTTTTCTTGAAATAATTTATGCACACTACAGACTGAAATCCCTTTTCCAGACTGCTATTTCTACTAATTGGTTGGTTCAAAGTTCTCGACAGAATCTATCTCTGGGCATATTTTATTCAAATCCCTTTTTTTCTTAGAGAGAATGTGATTGACGATGGACGGAGTCAAATAGGTGGAATTTGAGGAAAAGGGTGGATCCTTTTTTATTTGTTCTTTTTGCACGCTTTTTGAGCACTAAAAAAATATTCTTATTTTAATATTATTTAATTCATTTAATAATTAAAATAATACCTACCAAAAATCTAAAATTATAAAATACTATATAAAAAAATCGTCTAGATGCCCAAAAAAAAAACCTAGGTGCATCTAAGCACGAAAAAAGAGAGTCTAGGCACACAAAAAAAAAGAGCTACTAAATGCGTAGCGAGATATTTTGCCCACGTTTCAAGTCTAGACACCGTTTAAAGGGCTTTTTAGACAGTGATTTTGAGTATTGGAAAAAGAAATATAAATTAACATTTTTTAACTTTTCTTTATATATTTTTATATAAAAATATTATTTGGAATAAATATCAAACACACGTGGCATATACTCAATAATACATGACTTTGATACCCTTTTAAAATTATAGAAATCTCTTGTAAAGTTCAGTTTCTACAAATTCTTGTCATCAAAATTCCTTTCACACTTTTTTTCTCATTTTTCTTTAAAAAAAAAAAAAAGTTATAAATGAAACTATTTGGTTGATTTTCTCTAGTTTTAAATTTTTTTTACAGTTGTACATTCACGACACATTAAATTTCGAATTTTAATTTCCTTTCGTCATAATGCCAAATTAAGTTAGTCATCATTTTTTAATTAATTTTATTGTTTTTTCTTTAAATAGAAAAGTTCATTTTTGGAAAATATTATTGAGTAGCCATTTGTGCAAAAAAGGGAAAAAAAGACATGAACTATCTCCAAGCTAGAATACAATTTTCTTAACAAAATTAAAATTAGTAATAAAGAAAAACAAGGGAAAAGGGATTGTTACAAATGAGTATAAATGACAGAATTTTGATCTAAAGGTGGAGTTGGAACAAGAAATTTCGATAGATTGCGACGGTTAATGTGAAGACAGAAAACAACGGCATGTAGAGAATTCGCACATTAATTCAAACAATTCTTAAAACTCCACCACCAAAAGCATTAAAACGT